TCTGGGATCTGGATGGAGGGAGGAATGGTTGTAGGGCTCCTTTCTGGTGGTAAAAATGTACTGAAATTAGGTAGTCATGAGGGTAGTACAGCCCTGTGAGTGTACTAAAGACCACTGAAGTGTATACTTTACAAGAGTGAATTTTATGATATCTGAATTATATACCAACAAAGCTGTTAATTTATAAAGTGAAAAGAAGGGGGGAAAAGGAAAAGAAAAATAAAGCAAGAGAGGTTATATTAGTAACAGGCAAAGTAGAGTTTGGATCAAATAAAATTATTTTTTATTTTGGGATTATTATTTATATATATAAATATAATAAATATAAAAAAATAAATATAAATACATATTTAAAAATATATAAAAAAATAAATATAATTATTATTTATATGGGACAGAGAGGGACAGTACGTAGGATAAAAGTCAACCCACCAAAAATACATACTTAACCCTAAATGGATATGCACCTAACACTACGGTCGTAAAATATGTGAAGGAAAAACTGAATGAACCGCAAGGAGAAATGGGCCAAATCACAATTATGGCCAGAGACATCAACAGCCGTGTCTCAACAATGGACAAAACACCAGCACGGAACGTCAGCAAAGATATATCATCAACACCATCAACCAACAGGATCTAATCAATACACATAAAACCCCCCTCCCAGCTGGAGCAGAATACGCACTTTGTTCAAGCATTCATGGGATGGCACTGACATAGACCATAATCTGGGCCATGGAACAATCCCCAACAAATTTAAAAGAATTAAAACCATTCAGAGTGTGTTCTTCATGCTAGAAATGAAGAACAGAAAGATAACAGGGAAATCTCCAAACACTTGGAAACTAAACAACCTACTTCTAAATCACCCATGGAATTAGAGAAGGTGAAAAGCCTCAAATCAGTAATCAAATCTTAACAATTTAGGAAATGAGAGAAATCAGAGCAAATTAAACCCAAAGTGAGCACAAGGAAAGAAATAACAAGTATAAGCACAGAAATCAATAACAACGAATACAAAACAATATATAAAATTAATGAAACAACTACAATATCCTTCAGTAGGTGAATGGTTAAACAAAATGTTGTAGATTCAGGTCATGGAATGCCACTCGGGAATAAAACAGGAGTAAGCGAGTGATAAACGTCTTAACCTTGGATAGAACTCAAGGACGGCATGCCAAGTGATCAAAGCCCTTCCCAACAGGTCACACACTGTACTCTTCCATTAAGGTAAGATTATCAAAATAACAAAAATACGGAGATGGGGAAAAAATATTAGTATTTGCCAGGTGTTCAGGATGGTGGAAAAGTGTGGCCAAGTGTGATGATAAAAGGGTAGCATATGGGAATATTTTATGGTGGCGGAATGGTTCTGTTTCTGGATTATGGCAGTGGTTACATCAATCTACACATGTGAGAGGATGAGATAGAACTGTAACGTACACATTTTCCCATTTTCCTTGTTTTGATACTATAATTAGGTAAGATATAACCATTGAGGAAGCAAGATATAGGGACGTCTCTGTACTATCTTCAGAACTTCCTGTGAATCCAATGTTCCTGCATAATTAATAGTTTTAAAGAAAATTTACCAGGTGAATTTCTATTTAACTTTCTAGGACCATGCATGTTTATTATTTATAAATGCCCACTTAGGAATACTTTGGTCTGCATACTTATTCAAAAACAAAGGGAGTCTCAGAAAACTTGGTTTTAAGTTCTGACTTTTCCACATTTCAGCTTTGTGGCTGTGGGAAAGTAAATTAACCTCTATGAAGGCTCTCAATGGTATTTACTGGAATATTTGGTAGATTTTGTGTTCTCTAATGTGCTAGACATGAAGCTAAGGAGATCTAGCCTGCTTATGTCACAGAGTGCTTGAGAAGAACACCAAGGGATATATAGTCATGATTTGCACATAGTAAGTGCTCAGTAACTGCTTGCTGGATTAAATTAGATTGGATCACAGATAAAGGTCATATAGATATTATAAAGAAATATCTATTACTAGTGCTGTGTTTGTGTTGTGTAGTGTGTCCAGACAGAATTAAGTCTTGCCAAGGCAGAGTTCAGTAAATGATGCTGCCTTTTCGAAACATCAAAATCGTGAGTAGATTTTGAACGTGAAAAGATGGCCCATGTAGTCCAACTGGCTACCTACAACTAGGATATCTATAGTTGACGTTGATGCCAAGATCCTCTTTACCCGGAAGGTTCCCTCGTCTCCCACCTGCTATGAATGTTACTGCTCATTGCTGAGGGCTGACATTTACCTTCTTCCCCAGATAATTCTCAGCAAAGTAGGTTAGTCTCACCTGGGAAGTTATTCCCAGTTCTGGGAGCTGCCTACCGTAAATGCCTAACACAGGTCACAAAAGGCCACCCCTCCTTGCTCCAAAGTGGGACCAACTATGGGCTCAAGTCTGTAATTCAGAGCTTTTCTTGGGATTAGGCTAAAGCTAAGTCCAGCTGAGAACACGGCCTTGCACAGCTCTCTCCCCTGGTCTCCTGCCCCTCTCCCTGGCTCCCTTTCTCTGTGAGCCTTCTCAATCAATCATGTGCTTCTGAAACCCAATCTCAGGATCTGTTGAATTTAAATTCCTACAGTGGCCAGCGAAGCAGACTGGAATTTAAAAACTGAATAGATACGGAGGTAGAAATGCCAGAGAAAATACAAGGTGCCCAGTTAAATTTAAATTTCAGAGAAATAATTGTTTTTGGTATAAGTATATCCCAATTAGTGTATGTGTGTGTATTTGTGAGTGTGTGCAAGGGTGTGGACATGTATTTGTGCATGTGTGTGTGCATATGTATTTTGTGCATGTGGGTGTGCATATGTGGTCACAGCGAGGCTCTAGTTTTTCATTTTTCCTCTCTTTTCTTAGCAGCTGCTGAAGAGTTTGGTTAATAGGTCCGATCTCCTGTAAGTATCTGTCATTCTCGTCTCACCCTGGGATGTGCGAGAGCGGCCAACTTCTCATCGTGGTAATCTTGTTACTCCACCAGAAGAACTCTAGCTTCAGATTCAGATTAGCTGTTAAGTGGGCACATCCCCCCCCCGCGTGTGCCCCCGCCCATCATTTGAGGGAAGGTGCCTTTGTGATTCTGTAGAAAGACTTCTCTTTCTGACTACACAGTCCGGTAGCTTTCCGTCTCTCTCCTAGAGATGTCTGTTCTGCCTGACCTGCAGACACAGGATGACTTTCAAACCCCTTTTGTTGGTGGTGAACAAGCTGGTTAAGTCCAACCAGTAAGGATCTTTTTGATCCTAGAAAGAGACTTGGCGATACTCTACTCCTGTTTGCTACTAACGCCCAGAATTTTGCAGTATTACTCTATTACTCCCTCTGACACATGGGTTATATCCAAATGTGCCCACAGACATATGTGGACCCACAAATGCACAGGTTCGTGTGTGTGCCTAAGTAAGCCTGTCAAAGCCGGGAAAGTACCAGTGCCATGAACCACAGAGGCCCTATCAATGCCTCTGTGTCCACCCTACATCTGTTTGGTTGGAATCCCTTCATATGGGGTAGGCAGCATTTTGGGGAGAGATGATCCTGTCTACCTAATGAGGTCATAATCCCCCTACTGCCTTAATCTTGACAGATAGACATATATAACTGGATTAGTTCTATTTGACAGTATCTGTTCCTGGTTTACATGAAAGAACATTTTACTCAATCATATTTGAGCCATGCTTACAAAAAATTGCTGTTAAATTATCCCTAATTGCAGAAAAGAATGTGCTTTTAACAATTGGTGTTGGACATATTCCCTCAAAATCATCCATTTTGTATTTAAAGTTTACATGAAGTTTCCATTATGTCCCTTATTATGTCCATGTTTGCTAAGTTTTGAATTACATGGAATAAAATTCATACCTTTGGCAATTCTGCTAGGTTAATAAGTATAGGGGTAGTTTGTTCATTAACTCTTTTTCTCTTGCTTTCCAATTTTCCTGTGAGCAATGGATAATAGTAAGAAAATAGTGCTCAAGTTAAAATAGGACGATGTAAAATATTTTGTCCATTTAAAGCACATTTGTCCATAAAATCCTTTTTCCTTATTTATTGTTAGAAAATGGTTTCTTCAGGGGCACCTGGGTGGCTCAGTCAGTTAAGTGTCTGACTTCAGCTCATGTCATGATCTCACAGTTCGTGGGTTCGAGGCCCGTGTTGGGTTCTGTGCTGACAGCTCAGAGCCTGGAGCCTGCTTCGGATTCTGTGCCTCCCTCTCTCTCTGCCCCTCCCCCACTCATTCTCATTCTCTCTGTCTCTCAAATAAATATTTTAAAAAAAATTTTTAAGAAGAAAATGGTTTCTTCAGCTCTCTTATTGTAGCTTGATATGTAAGAGCTTTCAATAATGTCAACCAAGAATTTTTTCACTTCTTTACAAGCCTGTTATGGTTGTTTTGTACAGTGAATACAGAAGATGAGTACAGTCAGCTTACATATTCTTTGGCAGTAAATGTGGCACTCTGGGACCGTTAACAACTCTAGTATCTTCCTGTTACTTAAGTGGCCCCAAAGAGATAGAAAACTTCCAAAAGGGTTTAGCTCACATCCAGAGGAAAATCTGGCTCACCCACTCACAAATAAAAAATATATAGACACTTTGAGTAAGCTTTATGATTGTGATGTGTGGGAATATCTATTCCTTTTACTTTCCCCTTGTGAAAATTAGGTAGAATTGAACATTTATGTTACAGTAGGGAAAAAACGAAAACCTGTGCTTCCTGAACATGAACCAAATCAAGGACTGTTTTTTCCCCCCTGGAATTTATCTGCATTTCTGTGTTTTTGCAGCCTCTGTCTATGAAAGCCGAGTTCAATAGCACAGTGGCAATAAGTTAATATATATTCATTCAACAAATGCTGAGGGAGGGCTCACCATGTAAACACAACAGTAACATTATCCCTGCCTTCACAACACTGATATTTGGGGGGGTCGGGGGTGGGGGGAGATGAACAAAGAAAAAGTCAACAAAATCATTGCAAATTTTGAAAAGTACAACAAAAGAAATTGCCGAATGGGACAAGATCTACTCCAGATATACCAATGAAGAAAGAGCTCTCCAAGGAGAAGCTATTTTAGCTGAGATAGGAGGAAAAGAGAAGGATGAAACATCGTCCAAACATAAAGCAGAGCATTCCTTGAAATAAGAAAGAATTTAGGGTGGCCAAGAGGTATGGGTACACTGTTGTTGGCTCCATGGGAAACAAGGTTAGATAGAGAAGCAGAGGCTAGCCTTTAGAGGCTCTGAATTTAATACGCTTGGATTTTTTCTAAATGCAGTGGGAAGACATTGAAGATTTTAAGCTAGATCAACTTACTCCAATTCTTCCCTCTACTTTATGGAAGATGGAGTAAAGGGTATCAGAGATAGAGAACTTCAAAACACAACAAAGACTTTTTTTAGGAGACCAGGCAACCAGGGGTGGTGGTCTGGTCCAGGATGGAGCTAGAAAGGATTGACCACTTCATGGCACATGTTAGAAGGGAGAATTGACAGAACTTGTTGATGGCTCGGAAGTGGAAGGAAAGGTGAAAGGAGGAAGCAAAGAGGAGCCCTCTGGATCTGGCTTGAGCATTTGAGTGGAACTTGGTGTCTCTTGCTAACAGAAGCCAGACTACTTTCATGGTTCATATCTGCATGAAGAAGAGAACAGTTATTCTTACTTGTTAGTGTTTCAAGTGATGTTAGCAACACAGCTTTGGTACGTTTGCCTTTTATCTTATGCGTTATCTATTTTTTATTGCATCCTAAGTGTAGATTTCTGCAGTTACGTAATGTATTGTATGGATAATGTTGATACCGGTTATTTTTAAAAACAAGGAAAATACTTCTCTTAAAAGCAGTTTCTTGTGTATAACCCTGGAGGTGACAATAACCCTTATCATGGAAAAACAAGCACAAGAGTTGATGTAAAGCTTTCTTTCAAGTACCCATTGTGTGGTCCATAATTCACCCTGAAAAGCTGATAGTATGATAGCAAGAGCCCTCTCAAATATATTCATAACAATATACAACTGCAGATTTCTGTTTTATACAGGTCAGTGGAGAACCATCACTGCTGAATCAATGTGTCTAACTTCTTGAATGTCTAAATTTAAAAAGAATACATTCCTGCTAAGATTCCTATCAACCCTTGCTGATTATGTTTCATAAAAGCAAATTCTCGTACAGTGGGCTCTTAAAAGGACCAATTTTCTGCTTCTCTTGACTATATGAGACATTCAGGAATTAATGAAAAAAAAAAAAAAAAAGCAATGCCTGTCTGGCCTGTAAGCACTGCAACCTTATCTCTGCATAAATTCTCACAGGTCAACTCAAAAAACAGTTCAGGGTCAAAATCTCATCTGGTCACCTAGATTAAAAACTAATTTCTCTAAAGTATATCCTATATTGAAGCTTTTTCATGCAAATAAATAGCAAGGGCCTTGTCCTCTCTTCCTTTATTAGTTGGGCATGTCATGAATTTGAACAGAACATTTTGTTCTGTGCTCTAATTACATGCGTTATTAGGAAAAATCTATTCCTTGCATACGTATCATCAGAAGCAGCTCTAAGAGTGTGGTTTCCATCACAGGGCTCGTCACGGTGGTTCATCGTAATACTGACAGTTTAATCTTTTGTTTCATACGAGATTAAAAGCCGCTTGATACCCATCTCTTCACAGCTTGGACCGTGAATCCAGTTGGACTCCATCCATATCTAAGTACCGTCTCTTTCGTGAAGTGGACTCCATTTTCCCACATACGCTAGGTAATTATCTGCCGTTACGGGGGAAACACTTCGTTGATGAGAAAACCCACCCAAACTGATTTTCTAAAAGATAATGTGGACTCACAACTACGTGGCTAAACAAGGCGAATCACCGCAGTCCTTTCCCTTTAGACGAAGCGACACAACCAGAGTTGTCGCTCGCTCACCGCCTCTTTGGCAGTTGGAAGACATCATTCTATTTGGTCATTTGTTTTATTGGCTGTTGAAACGTGGTGGCTACCTCTGAAATGAAATGACTTTTCAAAGCCCTTTATTGGATCTCGGGATGTGTCAGTAAAAAGAAAGAAAATAAATAAATAAGCAGATGGAGTTTGAACACAAAGAAAAACGACCTTCATTCTGAGACTATTTATTAAAATGATAGTACAGTGCACTTCGCCTGTGAGGTGGCAAATCACAAATAAGAAATATGGGAACCCGTGGAGCTGTTGAAATTTAAATTATGTGGCAGCTTTCCATCAGAAATGCAACAGTAATTTAGAGTTAGGCTTTCCTGGCAGATTTATGTTTCAGTAAACAAACAAAAGGACTTTCTTGACTACAGTGCCAGGTGTGGGAAAAGATCCATGAGAATTGGAAAGAATGTTGGGGAACTGTTGTGGCTTTCCCCTCTCATTCAGTATACTTACATATTTCACCCATATTTATATTCGTATCAAGGGCCAAAGCTCTATGAATGAGATTCAGCACATCCGGTTAGAATGCACTGAAACATTACACCTTAGGATAGCTGGCTTTTGGAAAGAGGAAGCTCTTTTCAGTTCTTTGTAGTCCTGCTAAATTTCAAGTTTAATTTCTGAACCGTGTCGTGGGTGTTATTTCATGACTGAAATGATTTTGCAACAAGCGCCTAGTATTGCACAAATGAGGACAAGCTTTGTATCTCAATAAAAATGAGTCGACGTGAGTAGAAATGAGAGTTCCAAAGAGTGCTTCCGAATATTTGGCAAAGTATCTTTTGTACTTTGAAAGGAGCAGCAGACAGCTTCTCTATCTCCTGATCGGGGCCTCCCTCTCCCCTACCTTCCCTGAGATGAGCATCGACATTGTCGCTTCCCTGTTTTTATCAAGGTCACTTTGGAAAGCATGAGGTGCTGGGGAGCTTTCCCTGGCATCCCAGACCTTTACCAAAAGGCTTAAATGCAGACTGTGGGATATTAGGATCAGGCTATGGAAAGATTGGTCCTCCTGTTCTCCTTGCCCAGGTGACCCTGAAGAATGGATGGTGGTAGACAATCCCACTCGCCCTTCTCCGTGGAGGTGATCTAACTGAGCTGCTGAGTGTCATTGCATGTCTTAGGACTGATTTTTTAGGGTCCTTTTTTTGTCTCCTGTTTTGTTACCCTAAACCCGCACACAATTCTAGGGCATATGGCCAAGCAGTGAAACCCAGAGGTTTTCTAAGAGGTCTAAGAGGTCCCTAAGGATTCCGTCTTAGCAGCTTTTCTTTACTCAGGGGTAAGGCCAGTCCATTCTAATAGAGACTCTTTGGGAAAGCATCCTTAGTTTGCCTTGGGCTATTGTTGCCCTATGTAGTAATCACAAAGCCCAACGTGTTGGAAGCCTTTGTTTGAATTCCAAAGACTTGCTCTGGGGAGAAATGTGTTAGTTAATCACTGGCCACTTTTGTCTCTTCTCTCCTATTGTGTTATCAGGCAGCAAGGGCCCTTGGGCAATGATGAGCACTGAAATACTGTCGTATTTAGCCATCGGATTTAAGGCATAAAGCAAATGAGTTGCGATGGAATCATTATCAGATGGTAAGACTACTTTTCAGGAAAGAAAATTTCTTGACCTTTTCTAAAGAGCAAGCTCCTGTTCAACCTTAGAGGAGAGGATGGTTTGTTTTATAAAGTGTGAAAGTATCTGAGGACATTAGGAAGAACTCAAGCACACAGTGGAGAAATATGAGAATAGATTAAGATGCCCATTTGGATTGTCCCTTAAAGGATGGAGACTTTCTTTCCTTATGAGTTATAAAAAAACCCATTCAGTTTAAACTTGGCAACTACCTTCAAGATAACAAAGAGGAGTATGTGTAATGTAGTGACTATATAATTTATGAAAATTGATGTGTAGTTATACATAAACAGTTGCTACTTTGGGCTTTTTTGCACTTAATTAGGCAAATTATTTTTGGTATTGATATATGTTTTACATAAATATAAATAATACAAATATATCCTATTAGTTTTGGATAAATGTATATACACGTATATGTAATATAAATAAATAATGTTATATCTTTTATATATAAATAGACACATATTTATATATACCCGTACTTAATGAAAACATATCGTTGGTTTTTCTTGCCTTTTGTGGGTGCTATTCTTTTGGCAAATGTTGTTAAATGGCAGTTTCTAGACCGTGAATAATATATATGGCCAACTGCCTCTTTCCCTAAATGTAATTAAGCAGGAGAATGAGTCAAAGATAAGCTCCAGCTTCTAGTTCATTTTTATAGACACTTGGTAATGATGAGCTGAGCAATCAAGTGTCTGTGTAAACTGATGTAACTTTTCATACCATGAGCCTAATTATAGCTCTGCTTAAACACAAGCTAAATTGATAGCGAGTATACTTCTAACCTGAAACCTAGTCTCCAGGACACTTATATAATTGCAGGGGTTGTTTTAGAGGGGGGAAGGGTCTGGAGAGGGGCATGTGAATTATTGCAAATGTTATTCTCCTCAGTATCGTCCTAAAGAGAAGCCTTGGCTTTGTAATCTATCCCACTCAAGCCCAGGAAAGCACATTCCCACCGCTCGATTCCCCTGGTTGTCTGGGAGTATTTCCATAGCCCAAGCACAAGACAAGGAGATATTTTGCCAACTCAGTGCACACCAGATAACCAACCGCTTCTCATGGAGCTTATTTTCATGTGGGAGAAAATAGAAAATAAAAAAAAATACACAAAATGATTCATTTTTTACAATTTACATTTTTTTTTAAATCACACAATTAAATATTGTGGTACGTACCAGGAAGGAATCCAACAGTCTCGTGATAAAAGATAATAACTGTGGCCACCTATGGTGGGCATCACTTATGTCTTCTCAGAGGAACTGACCTCCCAACAGAAACCTGAAGGAAGATAAGCCAGCCTCGCTGAGAGGCCCAGAACAAGGAACAGCAAATGCAGTGTTCCTGAGGCAGGAGAGAGTGTGACTGTTAGAGGTATTCTTGGAAGGCTTGTGAGCTTGCAGCTTAGTGAGTGACGAGAGCAGGAGGGACAGACCTTTGGATTTGGGGTGGAGCAGAAAGAGAGGGGAAAAAGAAATGGAAAGAGAGGGGTCCCCTTCATTAGCTGTGAATCTCATTGCTCTCTAACCCAACACTTTATTCCTATTGCCTCCAACTTTTTCTTTAAGTATAAAAAAGTAAAAGGAAGTTTATTATTTATGTTTCATACTCAAAGACTATTGACAATATATGAATCGTCCCACTACCATGGACATAGACTCCATCAGAGCATAAATGTCTTATCATAGCTAAAAAAAATCGCGAATTGTCTAAACACTGTGCTTATAGAAAGGCTGGTAGCAATATCTTATCTAAAGGGCAAATAATCTCAGACACATGCTGGCGTCCTCAGCAATCTTGGATCAGATAAAACTGATAAATTACAAACTGGTTCACAACTATTTGGCACCGTGAGAATAATCCTTTACTGAGATGTGTTTAGTATTAATTCCTGGTCTCTTACAAGGCAATTGTAAAACAGCTAATCCCCATGCGAATGGCCAGTAAGCCTATGATAAATCACCCACCTAACAAGAATGAAAGAAAGACAAATTGAAGGAATTAATAAACAATATAAAAAGATATTCGACCTTGCTCATAATTAAAATCTAACTTAAAATACTACTTTATTTTTTCTTTTTACCTATCAGGTTAGTAAGAATTTAAGATTTGTTATTACCCAACGCTGGTAAAAATGTGAAGAGTATGTGCCTTCAAATACTTCTGGAGAGAGTGTATGTTACTATGACATTTTAAAAATTGAAATATAATTGATATATAGTATTAGTGTCAGGTGTATAACAGTGATTCAATGGATATATATATGTACATATTGCAAAATGATCACAATGACTCTGTTTAACATCCATCATTACACATAGTTACAATATTTCTTTCTCATCACGAGAACTTTTAAGATCCACACTTATCAACTTTCAAGTTATAATACAATGTTATTAACTATAGTCACCATACTGTATACTACATCCCCAGGACTTACTTATTGTAGAACTTGAGGTTTGTGCTTTTTGACCGCCCCCCTTACCCCTTTCCTCCCACCCCCTCCTCTGGCAATCACCAATCTGTTGTCTGTATCTAGAAGTTCTTTTTTTTTTTTTAATTCCACATAAAAGTCAGATTATATGATATTTGTCTTTCTCTGCCTTATTTCACTTAGCATAGTGCCCTCAAGATTCATCCATGCTGTCACAATCGGCAAGACTTCATTCTTTGTATGCCTGAATAATACTCAGTTGCATATAGTACACTACATTTTCTTTATCCATTTATCTGGTAATGGATACTTAGATTGCTTGTATGTGTTGGGAATTGTAAATAATGCCGCAATAAATGTGAAGGTGCAGATATCTTTTCACGTTAGTGGTTTTGTTTCCTTGTGATAAATATCTAGAAGTGGAATGGCTGGATCATATGGTAATTCTATTTTTGATTTTTTGATGAACCTTCATATTGTTCTCCATCGTGGCTGCACGACTTTACATTCCCTCCAACAATGCGCCATTGTTCCCTGTTCTCCACGTTCTCACCAACTGTTGTTATTTCTTGCCTTTTTGATAATACCCAATCTAACACTTGTGGGGTGATATCTTTTGGTGGTTTTGACTTGAGTTTCCCTGATGATTAGCGATATTGAGCACTTTTTCAAGTACCTTTTGGCCATCTTTATGTCTTCTTTGGAAATATGTCTATTCAGATCTTCTTATTTTTTGATTGGACTGTTTGGTTCTTTTGCTCTTGAGTTGTATGAATTTTTTATGTATTTTGCATATTACCCCTCATCAGATATATGATGTACGAATACTTTCTTCCATTTTGTAACCTAAGTTGCCTATTCATTTTATTGACTGTTTCCCATGCAGTGCATAAGTCTTTTGGTTTGATGTAGCCCTACGTGTTTAGTTTTGTTTTTATTGACTTTGCTTCTGATGTTAAATAAATTTAAAAAAATCAATGCTAAGACCAATGTCTAGGATCCTATCACCTGTGTTTCCTTTTAGGAGTAATATAATAGTCTTGTTCAAGTCTTTAACCCATTTTGAGTTGATTTTTGTGTGTGTTTTTAGATAGTGGTCCAGTTTCATTCTTTTGCCTGTGGCTGTCCAGTTTTCTCAATAGCATTTACTGAACACACTGCCCTTTCCCTGCTACAGATTCTTGGCTTGCGTTCCATATATTAATTGTGCATGTGTGCATGGGTTTATTTCTGAGCTATTTATTCTGCTCCATTTATCTATGTATCTGTTCTTGTGCCAATCCTGTACCGTTTTGATTACTATAGCTTTGTAATGTGGTTTGAAATCAGAAAGTGTGATGCATCCAGCTTTGTTCTTCTTCCTCAACATTTCTTTGGCTATTTGAGGTCATCTGTGTTTCCGATACAAATACTAGGATGGTTTTTTATATCTGTGAAAAATGCAGTTGGAATTTTCATGGGGATTACACCTGTAGATTGCTCTGGGTGGTATGGTTATTTTAACAACATTAACTCTGCCAATTCATGAGCATGGAATATCTTCCTGTTTATCTTCAGGTTATTTCATCAATGTCTTGTAGTTTTTCAGGTACAGGTCTTTCGCCTCCTTGGTTAAATTTATTGCTAGGTATCTTGTTCTTTTTGATGCAGTTGTAAATGGGATTGTTTTCTTAATTTTGCTTTCTGATAGTTGATTATTAGTGTATAAAAATGCAACTGGTTATTACATATTGAGTTTTTATCCTGCAGCTTTAGTGAATTTTTTTTAGTTCTGTCAGTTTTTTGGTGGATTCTTTAGGATTTTCTATATATAAACTGCCATGTCATGTTTTACTTTTTCCTTTCTAATCTGAATGCATTCTATTTATTTTTCTTGCCTATTACTCTGGCTAAGACTCTCAATTTTGTGTTAAATAAAAGTAGTGAGTACAGGCATCTTTGTCTTATTCCTGACTTTACAGGAAAAGTTTTTAGCTTTTCTCCTTTGAGTATGATGTTGGCTGTGGACTTTTCATATATGACTTTTATTATGTTCAGGTACATTCCCTCTACACCCACTTCGTTGAGAGTTTTTATCATACGTGAATGTTGAATTTTGTCAGATGCATCTTCTGTATCTGTTGAGATGATCATATGATTTTTTTTCCTTCGTTTTGTTATCATGGTGTAACACATTCAGTGATTCGTGGGTGCTGAACCATCCTTACATCCTTGGAATAAATCCTACTTGATCTTGGTGTATGATATTCTTGATGAATTGTTGAACTCTGTTTGTTAATATCCTGTTCAGGATTCTTATATATTGTTTCATCAGGGATGTTGGACTACAATATTCTTTTCTTATAGTGTCCTTGTCTGGTTTTGATATGAGGATAATGCTGGTCTTGTAAAATTAATTTAGAAGTGTTCCCTCCTCTTCTGTCTTTTAGCAGAGTTTGTGAAGGGTAAGTATTAATTCTTTGAATGTTTGGTAGATTTCACCAGTAAGGCCATCTGGTCCTGGCATTTTCTTTGTTGGAA